CATTTTTTATCAGTTTTTCGTTGAGTCATTCAATTTCCATTTCGTTATCATGATTTAAACGTTTCCGGAAGGCAATGATCTGAAAATCATTCCCGATTTGCAAATCAAGTCAAATGAGTCATTTATTTTTAGTCTTTTCATTAAGAAATCTTTCTCTTTTCATCGATTTCATTACCATCTCTTTTTCGGTGAGAAATCCTCTTTTTCCCCTTTCTTTTCCCCGTTCTCTTTCCGAAAACTGGCCCACTCCAACGATAAACACTTATCTTGATTCATATGTCTCAAGAAAAAACCTCAAAAAACCAATCTTTCTACACTAAAACGTAGTTCAAATCAATCGTTTCATTCAATTCATTCATTTAATTAATTCATTTAATTAATTCATTTAATTAATTCATTTAATTAATTCATTTAATTCATTCATTTAATTCATTCATTTAATTCATTCATTTAATTCATTCATTTAATTCAATTATTCAATTCCATCATTTAATTCAATTCAATCAATCAATTCAATTCAATCACTCAATTCAATCACTCAATTAAATCATTCAATTCAATCAATCAATCCAATCCAATCAATTCAATCAATCACTCAATTAAATCATTCAATTCAATCATTCAATTCAATCAATCAATCCAATCAATTCAATCAATCAATCAATTCAATCATTCAATTCAATCACTCAATTCAATCACTCAATTCAATCACTCAATTCAATCACTCAATTCAATCACTCAATTCAATCACTCAATTCAATCATTCAATTCAATCAATCAATCCAATCAATTCAATCAATCAATCAATTCAATCATTCAATTCAATCACTCAATTCAATCACTCAATTCAATCACTCAATTCAATCACTCAATTCAATCACTCAATTCAATCATTCAATTCAATCAATCAATCCAATCAATTCAATCAATCACTCAATTCAATCAATCAATCCAATCAATTCAACCAATCAATCAATCCAATCAATCAATCCAATCAATTCAATCAATCACTCAATTCAATCATTCAATTCAATCAATCAATCCAATCAATTCAATCAATCACTCAATTCAATTCAATCATTTAATTCAATTCAATCAATTCAATCAATCCAATCAATTCAATCACTCAATTCAATCAATCAAAACTAAATCTCTAAACATTTTAAACATTTTCTATACAATACAATACAATTTTTCTGTAAAACATTGTCTTTTTATGTCATCTTCTTCAGCTTTAACCATTGGTCGTTGTTTGTCCCGATTCAGAGTGTGCTTTCTGTGCAATTTCTAAGCTCTCAGAAAAGAATCAAGAATACAATTTATGAAAGATTTCTAGACAATCATCTAGAGAAAACTTTCTTGCAAAAATCTGATGAAGAGGGACGAAAAGAAAGTACAAAAAAGCGGCTCATATTGCTGAAAAACTAGGCCAAACTATGGTAGCTCATTTACAGTTTAGCTTAGCTGAATTTGGCTTAATTTAGGCTAAATTTTAGCTTAGTTTGGCTTGAATACCTTCTTGACAGTTGTCACAATTGTGTTTTGAACTTTTAAACTTGTGAAAGCTTACGAAATTTTTCGTTCCTTTTCTTTTCTGGCTCGATTTCTCTTTCCCAATTCATTTCTCTTTCCCAATTCTATTTAATTCTGGTTTTTTGGCTTGGCTTGGCTTGGCTGGGCTTGGCTTGGCTTGTCTGGACTTGGCTTGGCTTGGCTTGGCTTGGCTTGACTCGGATTGGCTTGGCTTGGCTTGGCTTGGCTTGACTCGGATTGGCTTGGCTTGGCTGGGCTTGGCTTGACTGAGCTTGTCTTGGCTTGGCTTGGCTTGGCTTGGCTTGGCTTAATGCTTCGGTTCAATATTGTGTGACCTTTCTCATGTACTTTCTCGTGTACTTTCTCTTGTACTTTCCCTTGTACTCTCTCTTTTCCTTTCTCTTTTACTCGACTTTTGTTTGATTCTAAACCAATACTGTGCACTAGACATGGAAAAATTCCAATCCGAACCTAATTTCACCGTCGTTTTCTCAGCCACTTCTTAACCGATTGCTCTGAAATCTTGTCTACAAGCTGAAAATATCGATTTCTATCTGTAGACAAAATTTCAGAGCAATTGGCCAAGAAACGGCCAAGAAAACAAAGGTAGAATTAGGTTCGGACTGGAATTTCCCCATGCCTACTGTGCCAAATCCATAACCATTTTAAAATAACATTTTTCTATCCGTAGATTATAACTGTGAAAGCTTTCCAATGCAAAAGTTAAAAACACAATTTTTAAACACGTTTTCATAAAAACACACCTGTTTTGAATGTGAGTTTTGTTTTCTTTTTCAAACTTTTCCTTTTTCTCTTTCCTTTTCTCCGCTCCCGAAATTCCTAAAAGTTGAATGACGCAAAAGTGACTTTTCTCTAGCCACCTTTCCTAGCGCTTTTTCGTCATCGTTTTCTTTTTCTAAATGCAGAAATTCTTGTAAACGATCTTTCTAGTGCACTGGAATCTTTTATTTAACTTTAAAATTCAAATTTTTGCCTCAAAAGTAGAGTAAAGTTTAGTTTTACTGTAGTGGATAAAAGAAAAGTCTTCAAAAAATCGAATATTCAAGAAAGACTTCAAAAAGCATACAAGTTGAATGATATCTCGATGTTAATGATAGCTTTTTGATCTTAATAGTTTAAAGTAGACTTCGGAAAACAAAACTTAACCAAAACCAAAACCAAAACCACCAAAACAAACCAAAACCAAAACCAAAACCAAAACCAAAACAAACCAAAACCAGAACAAAACCAAAACTAACCAAAACTCGCCAATATCTCGCGACCGGGAGGAGCTAGCGAAAATCTGTTTGCAGATTTGAAATCAGCATCCAAAAATCTATCCCATAGGCTATTTTTTGTTTCGAAATTTCGAGGTCGTGTTTTGGTCCTTTTTTCGGCCGCGAGCTTTTGTGGAGTGAGCAAAAAGTGAAAGGCAAATTTGCATTTTACATTAAAATTGCATTTTACATTAAAATTTGCATTTTACATTAAAATTTGCATTTTACAATTTTAAATTTACAGGTTAATTTATATGCAAATTGAGTTTTGGTTTGTTTTGTTGTTTTGGTTTTGGTTTTGGTCTGTTTTGGTGTTTTGGTTTTGGTTTTGGTTTTGGTTTAGTCTTGGTCTGTTTTGGCTTTGGTTTTGTTTGCCGAACTCTAGTTTAAAGTAAACATTTTGATGAAAATGTAGAATAAACTTGTATTTGAAACAAAGAACAATTAACTTTACAGATCAAAAAAAAACTAAAGAAAAAGTAGCATGGCGGACTCGAACCAGAGAACTTCAGTCCCAACTTTGCCTTCTATTCTAACTCACTACCACTCGGCCACCACTGCTTCTGAAAAGCCCTCGGGAAAATCTGCTTATTCTCTGCTTATAAACTCGGGGCATGATAATTCCAGACAAAACTTCGAACACTTGTAGCTTCTGACAGAGTGCTCCATAACAGAAACGGAAGGCAGATTCGGATTCAGCGTGAAATTCAGTGTTAAATTTCTGCGTCGAATAAGCCTAAGCCTAAGCCTAAAGATCCAGAAAATCGGGAGTTAGCCCAAACCAAAATGGTGCAAAGCGCTAGCCGCTAGCCTTTGCATTAAGTCCAAGCCTAAGCCTGAGCCAAATGTCATTTGCCAAATGTCAAATGCCAAATGTCAACCACACCCAGTTGGCATTCCCTTTTGAGCCAAACTTTCCCTCGTTTTGTGCAATGAAAACAGATGTTCCCGGTTAAATTCCAGAAAAACACGCAAAGCATTATTGATCAGAGGGAAAAGATCAAAAGAAACGCTGACAAGATTAAGCACAAAGTCGACTTTCCAAACGATTCTCGAGTGATTCTTTTGAAAGTAAGAATATTATTGACATTGTTAAGTATTGACATAATATTATTGGCAATCGTTTATTCATTCTGGCATCGGGCTAAGCTTTAGAGTTCAAAATTAGCATTTATCCGTGCAAGAATTGCCCATTTCCCCGTTTTCTTCAAAAAAAATATGTCCTTTTCTCTATTTTTGTTTATTCCATTCACTTTTCCTTTTTTCTTTCCTTTTTTTCTTTCCTTTTTTTCTTTCCTTTTTTTCTTTTTCATTTACTTTCCAATTGATATCTCTTTTTCTGAATGATTCTCCCTTGATGACAACAAAGCGATTCCCCCTCTTCTTCTTTTCTTTCTCTTCACTTTTCTAATATAAACATTCTGTGTTTTGCGAGCAAAGTCGAGAATAATAGATCAAATTAATCATCTGTTTCGGAAAAAAATTCCATTTTATTCTTTGATTTTTCTTTGATTTTTCTTTGATTTCTCTTTGATTTCTCTTTGATTTTTCTTTGATTTCTCTTTGATTTTACATAATTTTCATCAAATTTAATGAAAGATCAATTGAAAACTTCAATTTGAATCGATTTGGATTCATTTGAATCGATTTGGATTCATTTGAATCGATTTGGATTCATTTGAATCGATTTGAATCGATTTGAATCGAAATTTCGGCAATCTTTGATTTAATTTATGCGCAAATTTTGTAAACGAATTGCCTCCACTGAATTGCCGACATTTTCTCCGTGAAACTTCGCTGAGAAAACTGAGAAAAGAAGGAGTGCACCCAGGTGTGTTTACAAGCACAAAGTACACTTGTTCAATCCATTTCCCCTTCAATCCATTTTCCCTTCAATCCATTTTCCCTTCAATCCATTTTCCCTTCAATCCATTTCTCCTTCAATCAATTTCCCCTTCAATCCATTTCCCCTTCAGTCAATTTCCCCTTCAATCAATTTCCCCTTCAATCAATTTCCCCTTCAATCCATTTCCCCATTTCAATCCATTACCTAACTCGGCTGAGACTTATTTTTCATAATTCTTTATTCATAAGTTTAATGCTTTCAAAGTTTGATGCTGTTGACTCCATTCAATCGATTTTCATGATTTTCATTCAATTTTCATTCAATCAATCAACTTTCCAGATCGGATGGGCGGTCACCGTCGAGATCAATCCGATTCAACAATGCCCCTTCGATCAAATGCCGATTTTATCGGACCTGAGTCTCAAGAATTACAGGTAAGAGAATCAGAATACGAGAATGAAATAAAAGCAAAGGAGATTAATAACCTTTAAATTCAATTAGACTCTTTTCCAATTTAGGACATTTAGCTCCTTTTCCAAACAAATTCAAGCACAAAAACTCGTTTTTCGTCAAATTCGCTTAAAAAAAGCTCTACAAAGAAATCGGCTGAACGGATTATCCTGTAAATTTGGCTATATACCAAACTTTTTACACTCTATCTTTTATCTATTGACACCAAGATTGGTTTCTGTGGACCAAAGAGCCTAAATTGCGTCCTCCGGGGGACTTTTGACTATTCGACTTCGTGGCCCAATAAAAAAGCCATAATCAAAGCATTTTCATAAGATTCAAACATTATTTTGTAGAAAAATAAGAAAAGATTTGTAGAAAAAGAATTGAAAAAAAGGTTAGTCACTTGAAAACGGTCTTTTCGAAATAAACGAAAATTGAAAACCCACGAAAAATGACAGATTCCCATGGGGTGCTTGCGGCGAGCTCATTCCGAAGGCCAGTAAGGGTCAAAAATTAGTGCTGGCGAAAAAATCTTTAATGTATTAATGATGCTGAGAATCAGAGCTCTCAAATGGTATATAATACATGCTAATTTGCGTCGAAAGTTTTTTTGGAAAAGAATAGTTTTCCAAAAACCGATTGCCATAATTGTGGATCAGCCTGTCTCCTGAAAGGCTTTCTAAAGATTGATGGACTTACCGTATTCTCTCTAATAATAGTGCACCCTGAGGGTTGTCTAAATCACTCGAAATCTCGAGAACCGTTTATCAGAACCTATCGATGTGGGGTCGGAAAATGTAGCTGACGATGAGATCTAGTGGGGGATTAGAGTGTTGAGCTTCTGTGAACACTTGGGAACGATAAAATCGTCACCAACATAAAATCGTCGTCGCCGGGGTGCACTATTATTAGAGAGAATACGGTAATTCTGGGGTAAAGGAGATCAAGTGCGTTGTAGTGTAATGGTTAGCACGGGAGGTAGTCAAATGAGCGCCAACAATTGGGCGCCAATCATTTCAGCGCCAACGATTTGGCTCACGCTTATTTCAGCGCCACTCCTTTGAGCGCCGTGCCAAAAATGACTGGAAAACAATCATTTGAGCGCCAAATTAAAAAGGCCTAAAAACGTTCATTTAAGCGCCGGGCCAAAAATGACTGGAAAACGTTCATTTCAGCGCGACTAAATTTTAATATTTTTGCTTTCTACGCTGCTTTTGCATGTTTTTTAGGGTTTTGCTTCTGTTTTTACACTTTTTTCACTCATTTTGACCTAGGGCACGGTAGTAGGCATCAAATGCGCGGAAAAAATTGTTAGATTAGCTCGTATTTAAGGTTTTTTTGATGAAAATGTGTAAATTTGCTAGTTGTATGATATTTTCCCCCAATAGCATGCTTTTTCACCGTTTCTTGCCGTTTTCGTTTACAATTTGCTTACAGTTAACATAGTTCTTTGCGTAGGCTCGTGAACTGCGCAAGAAGTGGCGAGACAAAGGAACACTCTGAGTCAAAGTAACGTTTTGTTCATGATTTATTTTGGTTTATTTTGCTGCCAAGAATTATTTTTATCTTTAGATGATTTAGATAAAAACATACAGTAAAAACTTTGAGATCATGCAGAAAATGCAAAAATAACATGCATATACAGAATGGGCTGATTCGGCGCTGAAATGAATGTTTTCCAGTCATTTTTGGTGCGGCGCTGAAATGAACGCGCGCTGAAATGAACGCGCGCTAAAATGATTGGCGCTGAAATGATTGGCGCTCAATTTTTGGCGCTCATTTGACTACCTCCCGTTAGCACAGTTGCTCGGTAAGCAAAAGATCAGGATTCGAGTCCCGACAGCGCACGATTTTTGATCTGCTTTTTTTGATCAAGTTCCATGGGTTTAATAAAGTTTTCGTATTTAAATTACTATTACTTTGTAGACATCATTGCAGCCCAATGATGTCTACAAAGTAATCTAAACGGATTAAATTTGAATTGAAAATTGAAAGCAGATTGCGGTAACTTTCTCGCCGGTAAAATTGCGGTAACTTTTCATAAGATCTTAGCAAAACGATCCAGAAATTAGAGCTTATCACTCTCCGTCGCTATTTTGAAAGCAAATAGCCAGTTCAGCGTTATTTTTCTAAATGATCACCTGGCTGAAAGTCTGCCAAAACAATCTCACTTCTTAAGAGTTGAAATTTCTACCAAAAATTTGCATAAACCTAAAAGACAGACTTTCTTAAAAGACAAGCGTAGTCTTTTAAAGTTAAGCCAACGAAAGAACCTACCGTAAATACTGTAATAGTGCCCCACCCTCCCCTCGTACAGTCACGTAGTCGTTTTTTAGTATTTCATTTTTTTCAAAGCACCCGTCATTTCAAAAAATGCGTCTTTGGTATCAAAAAATAGCCCTGAATTTCAGTTATTTTTTGATACCAAAGCGCGCATTGTAGCATAAACCAGTGTCGAGAAAAACGCGTTCAAAGCTAGACGACGTCATATGGAGGCCATATGGACGCAGCATCATATGGACTTCACAGGGAACTTGAAATCTGAGCTCCTGGCTTAGTGAGTAGTGCGCTAGGCTCATGGCTTGGCGCTAGGCTTCTCGTGCGAGGTTCGGATCCGACATTGCCCCAGCTTTTTCGCTTTTGTTAAAAGATGTTGAATAATTGTTGTCCTTTTATTTTTTGCGGGTTTTAACTTTAACTTTTAACAGAATCTGATGCGTCTTTGGTTAACAAAAAATAGAGCAGAATTTCAGCTATTTTTTGATACCTAAGCGCGCATTGTAGCATAAACCAGTGTCGAGAAAAACTCGTTCAAAGCTAGAGCTACACAACACTCCGCACCGTCATTATGTGGGTGGGGTACTATTACAGTATTTACGGTAATCATTTTCTCTAATTTCATCTAAATTTCAATCTAATTCAATCTAGTTCAATCTAATTCGAATTTCTAATCTTTTAAACGAAGAATATCTTATTCAATTTCTATCTTTTAGTCTAAAGAATAGCATAGACTTCAAAAATTTTCACTTTTCTTTGTGAGAGCTCAAAATCGAGTCGATCAAAGCGATCAAAGCGATCAAAGTCGATCAAAGCCATCCCTTTGATCTTGATTCTTTTTTTTTGATGAGACGAAAATCGAAACTTTCCCCTTAATTGACTGAAAATTGTCTTCTTTGTCTGAATTGATTGAATATCTTTTCCTTTCTTTCTTTCTTTCTTTTCCCTTCAATCATTTCGCCTTTCTAGGTGCGCGCGAGTTCCTCAGAGAACTCGTTATCGGCGAATGGGGGAATCGCCATCACAATTGATCCAACCGATCCCGATCATCGATCTCATCTCCATCACAAAGAACATGTGGGTTTTTTTGAAAGGTTATTGAAAGGTTATTGAAAGGTTATTGAAAGGTTTTATGAATTTCATTTAAGTTAGTTTGTTTGCAGCCATGCTCTGCCTCTTTTTCGATCCCTTTTGCCCAGGTCCGATCTGAGAATGGGGAGCAAAAGATCTTTAGATCTTTAAATCTTTAAATCTAGATCTGTAGATCTTTAAATCTTTAGATCTGTAGATCTTTAGATCTTTAGTTCTTTAAATCTTTAGATCTTTAAATCTTTAGATCTTTAGTTCTTTAAATCTTTAGATCTTTAAATCTTTAAATCTATTGAGTTGGGGAGAATGAGTCGGCGCCGAAAATGAAAAAAATGTCTAAAACTTCAATTCGACTTCGTCAAATAATATGCGTTTGATACTCATAGAATGGTTAACTAATTCTCTACAAAATGACATTTAAAAGAAAATTCAAACAGCGCCTCCGCTCAAGAAAAAGCCATTTTTTCACAAAAACTACAAACTGTGATCTAGAAAAAACCATTGGTGGGATCTTCCTGCAAATTTGGCAACTTAAGTAATTGAATGTGCTCTATCTTTTTTATATAAACACCAAAGAAGGTTTATGTGAAAGAAACTGTTCAAATGATGAGTCGGACTCTTTGCCATTTTAACCAGCTGCGTTTCGAAGTTCATAAACTCCACGAAAGAAAAGCTTTGTGGAATCTCTCAAAAGTGATTTTGTAGAGAAATCGTGGATCCTTTTGATCAAACCAAACGTATGTTTAAAGAAGGCTTTATGTGTGCAAAAAGTCCCTTTAAAGTTTGGCGCCGACTCATTCTCCCCAACCCAATAGATCTTTAAATCCACTGCCAATTCTTTGTTCTCATGTCTGTTATAAACAATCTCAGTTCCTCACCGATTACACGCCCGCAGAAGTAACAAAATAAGTAACAAAATACCATCTTTAGATATGAACAAAAGAGGTTCTTTGTCATTTACTTTGTCATTTACTCAAAAACATCGGTTACTCAAAAAAAAATGAAACCGTTATGAAGCAATTAAATGCTAATGCTAATAGCAATTAAATGCTTGTTCCCTTCTCGGGTGTGTAATCGATAAGTACCCAGCTAAAAGATAAAATGCCAAGGTGATCCCTTAAAAATTAGAATCCAAAACTAATTTTATAGCCAAAATTTGAGCTGTCTTTTTGCTAGCATACCCCCGCAAACTTGTTTTCTATTTGTTACTCATCTATTTTTTATTATTCCTTACCAAAAACATTCGTAGTGTAGTGTTCAAAAAGGAAATACAAATATTTTTTTTACAATCTTTGTCTTTTTTTTCTTTATGTACTTTGAGATTAAAGCGTGCAAACACAAATTTTCTCGTGCCATTCACTTTGTCAAGACACCAAAATCGTTGTTTTGACAAAAGAAATGATTGCAGTGCACGAGAAAAGATGGGTTTTCAATCTACAAGCACAAAGAACAGGTTGAATAGTTGTTTTTATTTTTTTTTTTGCTGAATACCGTAGCACATCGAATCCGCTACTATGGGAAAACACTTTTGACTTAAAATCAAAAATCCGAATTCGGACAATTCTTAGTTATTGTCCAGACAAGAAAAATCCTTTTACTTTTATCATATTATTACTATAAATAAATACAAATAAATATTCTTTTACGAAATATACTGAAATTCACATCTTCTAGAGTGTTTTTTTAATATAGATCCAGAATAAAAACACCTAGGAACTCAATTTTGCTTCTGCGGTCCTGAAATGGGCACTCTTCCCTATATTTGTATAAAAGTGACGCCGGAAAAAACCTCAGAACTCATCGCAAACAAAATGCAGAGATAATGGCAAGGGTATCGTTAGAAAGAGTAAAACCAGGGCTACAACTTTGTAATGCATCGTTTGGCACGTTCTTGTGGAGTGAATATGAGAAAAATCGGAAAAATCGAAATTTTGACGAATTCCTTAACATTTTGTTCGTAAAACTTTACTCCGTAATAACTTTTTTGTGAGTAGAGGGATTTTTCTCAAACTTTGGATTTTTCTTGTCTGGACAATAACTAAGAATTGTCCGAATTCGGATTTTTGATTCCAAGGCATTTTTTTTTGGACGCGTTGTGCGTAGTGCTCTCTAATAGTAGTACACCTTGAGCGTTGCCTAAATTGATTGAAATCTCGAGAGCCGCTTATCAGAACCTATCGATGATCGGGAAATATAGCTGACGATGAGATCTACTGGGGGATTAGAGTGTTGAGCTTCTGCGAAAACTTGGGAACGATAAAATAGTCATCAACTCGGCTCGCACTATTATTAGTCATAGTGGATAGTGAATATCGTATAAAAGAGTGATAAAAGTGCGTTTTTCCAAATTACGACTTGCATCACGGTGAAGCAATGAACGGGTAAACACCTGTAAAGTATAACATTTAAAGAAAAAAAACCAAAACCAAGAGCGAAACCGAAGCCCGGTCTCAACGTCTAGAGTACTACCGAGAGACGGTCCCACTATCCACTAGGCCACCGGTGCTGATAATTCAGCGAGGGAAAAGCACCCTTTAGCCCTCAAATTACTAAGATGACTAAGATTTAGTAAGATGTAACGAAAGCTCATGAAAAGTTCGTGCCTTTCCCTAGTTACCGTAAAACTTCTCCGAATAAGATTACCGTATTTTCTCTAATATTAGGTTGATGCATAAGTGTTTTTGTTCCTTTTCGTCTGCCGTTTCAAGCCAACAAATGCACGAATTAAACTACGGTTGATTTCATTAGAAAAAGCAATTATTTTTCTGCAAAATAACATTAAAACGGGTTTAAAAATATTGAATGCCTGGATTTTCTTGAGAGTATGAAGTCGGGTAGTCAAAAAGGGCTAACTCGATGATGCGGTTTAGACACCTTAGCTAAAGAAAACCTATCTTCGTGTCAATAGATAAAAGATAGAGAAAAAAAAACGTTTGATATTTCGCCAAAATTTCAGAGAAATTCATTCAGCCAATTTTTCCGTAGAGTTTTTTATAGATTTTTACGAAAAAGGCGTTTTTCACTCTCGAATTTGCTTGAAAGTCAACCGAAATTCATTTAAAAAGATGCAAATTCAACAAAAAAACACTTTTTTTTATAGAGCAAACTATAGATTACCGTATTCTCTCTAATAATAGTGCACTCTTTAATAGTAGTGCACTCTCTAATAGTATTGCGGTCCGAGAGGGGGTTGAAAAAATAGTAGTGCACCAACGAAAATTTGAATTTCTGGTGCTTCTTTTTCATCTAAACCTTTTTGACTTTATGTTTATGTGACATTCTAAAGCTATTCAAGCAAGCAAAAGTGAGGCTTTTTTATTCATTTATTAACTATTCTTCACATGAAAAAGTTAGCAAAAAATCTAAAATTGTTGTGCAAAGGGCAAAAACATCTTTGTGTTGTTTGTCAAGACACAAATTGTCAACTCGCCGGCCCACAACGCCTATACAGTTGTGGGCCGGCGAGTTGACAATTTGTGTCTTGACAAACAACACAAAGATGTTTTTGCCCTTTGCACAACAATTTTAGGGGCCAAAAGGAGCCAAAGGAGTACGTGAAAGAGTTGCAAGAATTTTTGGAACAAATCTTATATCTGTCTTACTTTGGTAAATGATAAAACTCTTTAATAGTACTGCACTCTCTAATAGTATTGCGGTCCAGAAGGGAGTTCAAAAAATAGTAGTGCGCACTACTATTAGAGAGAATACGGTAATTGGTGAATTTGTTACTTTTTAACAGAAGTACGAAAAAAACGAAAAGACTTATGCATCAACCTAATAGTATTGCACCCTAAATTGTTCGAAATCTCGAGAACCGCTTATCAGAACCTATCGATGTGGGGTCGGAAAATGTAGCTGACGATGAGATCTTGTGGGGGATTAGAGTGTTGAGCTTCTTGGAAAAGCTTGGGAACGATAAAATAGTCATCAAACTCGGCTCGGCCGGAGGGAGGGGGGAGAGGGCACTACAATTAGAGAGAAGTAGTTGCTTTTGTATGTACTCTAATATCGATGTTTTTGCATCAATGAATGATCGATTTAATCAATTTCATCCATTGATCCATTTCATCCATTTCATTCAATCAATCCATTTCATTCAATCAATCCATTGTGAATACACGCAAAATTGCTAGCCCAGTGTTGCTTCTTTTGTTCAACTCACATTCCTCGTGATTTGTTTATAAAATTGAAACGAGACCCATGAAATCACGTGATCGTTTTGTCATTTTTCACATTTTCTATTCAATTTCATTTGATTTCACTTTTTTTTTCATCCAAATTCCTCTACAATCGACCCTAGATTTGCTAGAAATACGTTAGAAAGTTCACCGGAAAGTCTGCTTTCACGATTTTCGAGCACAACACCAAATTCATATGCAAATTTCTTCGAACTTTAATGGGGTACTCATGGCTAAAAGTTGTCTTTCAAGAATCGCGATCATTTATCTAACAGTAACAATAACAGTTCAGCTGTTTTTTTATGAATCTTCCCACAATTGATCAAAATCTATCCTTTTTTACACATCTTTTCCATATTTTACACCGATTTTCCCAAAAAAAAAACCGATGAATTTTAATTACGTCATTGGGAATCGATCTTTTTTTCTGTCGATTCTTTCTGTCGCCTTTTGTGCCCCCGTTTTTGTCCCGGATTTGATGAGAATTCGCATCTAGTCTACCATAAAAGTGCGGAATTTATTGGAAACAAAATAATATTGAAAATAATATTTAAAACAAGTTTGAAAACAAGATTGTTATTCAAATCAATATTGCTATTCAGAGCAATATTGCTATTCAGAGCAATATTGCTATTCAGAACAATCTTGTTATTCAAAACAATATTGAAAAGAATATTCAAAAAGCTCTTCAAATGTACTCGCGACTTTTCTCGATTTTTCAGATGAACGAACCCCGACAATCGGAAGCGTTGAAGACGGTGATCGCCTTTTTTTGCTTAACGGTCAGCTTTTAGAGAATCCTAAATGATATACGAATAGAAAATAAAAGAAACTAGATAAACTAAAAGCTAGATAAACTAGAACTAGATAACCTAGAAACTAGATAAACTAGAAGCTAGATAAACTAGAAACTAGATATTGCTATAATGGGTTCCAGAATCGGTACTAAAAGCCAGAAACCTGACTGGCTGATGCTACTGGCTCATTTCCTAAGCCTAGACTGCCTAAATTTGCCTAGGCAAGCCCAGTCAAAAAATTAGCATAATATTCAATCGAAAAGTTCTTTAACATTTGTCTAGATTTGTCTAGACTTGTCTAGACTTGTTTTCATTCGTTTAGAATCAATTTCAAAGTAACTTTTAAATTGCTCAATGCTATGCTCAATGCTTTTAACTGTTTAAAGCTATTTTTAGCTGCTTAAAGCAATTTATTAGTCCTCAACAAGTTTGCAGCGATAAATAACAAGTAACAAGTAGCAAGTAACAAGTTAAAACAAGTTAAAACGAGTTAAAACAAGATAAAACAAGTTAAAACCAGTTAAAACAAGATAAAACCAGTTAAAACAAGTTAAAACAAGTTAAAACAAGTTAAAACGAGTTAAAACAAGTTAAAACAAGTTAAAACGAGTTAAAACAAGTTAAAACGAGTTAAAACGAGTTAAAACGAGCTAAAACAAGTTAAAACAAGTTAAAACCAGTTAAAACAAGTTAAAACGAGTTAAAACGAGTTAAAACGAGCTAAAACAAGTTAAAACCAGTTAAAACCAGTTAAAGCCAGTTAAAACCAGTTAAAACAAGTTAAAACAAGTTTAAACAAGTTATTTTCAAAGTCTAGCCAAACTTTGTCTAGCCAGAATTCGAAATTTACTCTAATTACTCTAACCACCAGAAGAAGGGACAATTTTGGACAAAAAGAGACAATTTTCAAGTCCAGTTTCAGTTTTCAAGTCCATTATTTCTCATTTTCAGATCTCAGCTTTTCTGAACTTTTTCCTATTGACGGTGATTCATGATATCGTTCCCCGTGAACCCCTCCCAGACATCGTTTTTCTCACAATTCCCCAACAAAGATGGGCATGGAGTGTAGGAGATGTGCTGTCGACGTTGAGGTAAGAGCCTAACGCCATTCTCTAAAAGGAATCAAACTCGTTCAGCAAAGGAATCAAACTACAGAGTTTGACGTTTAATATTTGAAGTTATTTGAATTATATTTATAGTTATAGTTCAATATTTGAACAATAGATTACTCGATTTAAATAAACCAATAAATCGCTAGGTTTTGCACAAAGCTACCAGTTACCCAGTAGAGGGTTTTAAAGTCAGAACTTAGCCAGAACTTATTTTAAGACTTACTTTTAAGCATTCGAACAAATCCTTTTCTTTTCAGCTCTATTGTCGCATTCACCGTTGTCCTTTTGCATCGTGATCGATGGGTGATTTTAAGGAGAATGTTCCTTCTTGGCGCAATTCTTTATGGATTGAGAGCCGTGATTTTGGGAGTCACCTTTTTACCTCCATCATTCCATAACAGGTTTGAAAATGAGCTTTTAAGCAGAAATCTGATCCACATTTAAAGCAAAAGCCATCATTGTTTCTTTTTTAGAGATCAAATCTGTCAACCACAAGTCAACCGAACGGCTATGTATGGGGTGGAGATCGCGACGAGGTCAGTTTCTTCAGCCGCTTTTGACTACTTGACTCGAGGCACTCTAAAGGGTGACTAGGGTACCGTAAAGCGTTAGTAGATCCTACAATAGCCCAACCATAAGCGATTACTGTGTAAAGAATGTAGAAAAAGATCAAACTAACAAAAAATCGGGTTACGGTAGCTGGGACATGCTTTAGGCTCAAGCTCAAGCTCAGGCAAGTGTTTGAATAAGTTAGTCTGGTCCAACTTACCCATATTCTCTTTAGAAAATCCCAATTAGGCTATCGGGCAAAGGAGGCGGGATATTGGACGGCAAAGGGGGCGGGGCGCGTATAAAAGGAACGCCCGCCCCTCTGCCATTGGCAATCTAACTTTGAGCTCAAATATCTTGGTGTTGGAGTGGTCCATTTAGTTATTCTTGGTATCATTAGATGCGCCTAGTCTTTCTCTATCGATTAGTATAAATACTATTTAAATTGAACAGCCCAGCGCTGAGATATTTAAGTTCAAAGTTAAATTGCCAATGGCAAAAGGGGCGGAGCGTTCCTTTTATACGCGCCCGCCCCCTTTGAAGTCCAATATCCCGCCTGCTTTGCCCGATAGCCTAATTGGGATTTTCTAAAGAGAATATGGGTAAGTTAGGCATGAGGCGGCAAAGGGGGCGGGGCTTTCCCATTGGCAATCCAACTTTGAACTTAAATATCTCAGCATTGGGTTGTTCAATTTAAATGATATTTGTAACAATCGATAGAGAAAGACTTGGTTCATCTAATGGTACCAAGAATAGCTAAATTGGTCACCCCAACACCAAGATATTTGAGCTCAAAGTTAGATTGCCAATGGCAAAGGGGCGGAGCGCGTATCAAAAGTCCCACAATCACCCAATTATAGTTCTGAATTTCTCTTCCCATCTTCAGATTCCTCACCTACGTGGTCACTCTGGGGCTGACCTCTGGTCAGGACAAGATCCTCTGCGGTGATCTCATGTTCTCCGGGCATACTGTTGTTCTCACCATCATGTACTTCGTCCAACTACAGTACACCCCAAGAGGGCTCGTCATCTTACGGTAATCTAATATAAAAGTGGATTTGTTCAATGAAACTGTTTAGCTATATTGCGGCTCCGATCACTTTCCTCGGCATCGCCGCTTTGGTCGTTTCGGGTAAGGGTTTTGAGCTAAAAAGTACTGTAAAAGTACTGTAAGAGCATTGTAAAAGTACTGTAAAAGTACTGTAAAGAACATACTGTTTCTTTCAGGTGGCCACTACACGATGGACGTTTTAATAGCCTATTGGTTAACATCACACGTCTTTTGGGGATATCATCAAATGTTCGAAATGCCGAAAGTGCAAAGGCCGCACGCACCGATGAGTCGACTATGGTGAGTGCAATTTTAAGGGAAATCAAATAGTGACTTTTCTCTATAACAAATTTAATCAAGTAATTAAGTAATTCATTACTTTATTACTTGATTAAACCTTTATTTCATTCTCACTTCATTCCTTCATTCGACTCTCAACTTTTAAAGGTCATATAAAGAGTCTAGAAGCGCCAATCGGTTAGAAAATTGGCTTGGCTATAGGAGACATACTCAAAAATGAACTCCAAAAATTTCATACGGATTCATTGAGTTCTCGCTGAGCTAGACCCTCAGAAGTGAGACAGGGTGGCCGCGAGTTAAAGCGACAACTTTTGGAAAAGGATCTGGAATGGAACTAATTTAGTTCAAAAGTATCAAGTGTTGTATAGAGAATTGTAGCCCTTAATCTTGGCTACATTTATCTACCAAAAACTTCCTAATTGGACTCATACAACTCATTTAACAAGCGCTTGAATGAGCGCTAGTCGTCTCACCGGCAAATCTGTCATTTGACCGCTTTTCTACCGTTCGGCCAAATGATCTGGCAAATGCCTAACTTATTTCAAAAGTATCAAGTGTTATATAGAGAATTGTAGCCCTGATTCTCAGCTACATTTATCTACCAAAAACATCCTAATTAGACTCATATAACTCATTTAACAAGCGCTTGAATGAGCGCTAGTCGAATCTGTGATTCGGCCGCTTTTCTCTGTCAAAAATTTTTAACAAAAGCTTTTCAATATGCCGAGAATTAGAGCACTTTTTAAAAAACATCGTAGCCATAAAGTTAATAAAGCTGTTCTCATTACTCATTTCAGGTGGTTCTGGCTGTGTTACTGGTTCGAGAGCGATGTGCCCGATGGCCAACTGGAGAATATTTGGGATTGGCCATTCCCAGGGCCCGAAGGAGCACGGAGATTCATGGAAAAACTCAACCATCGCCTACAGTAAACCCCTAAAAGTCGCGAAGCAAAAGGAGACTTTAAATCTCTTCTAAAAGATGACTATTTTCCGAAATTTCCTTTTGCCGTTTCTTTCCATTTTCTCTCTCCGAAACGCGTGCATGTGTTACGGGTTATCCTGTTTTTTTTCCCGTCATTTCCCTCCAACTTTAGCTCGACACCATTTCCTTGACTCAATATTTCCCTAGCCTAATCAAAGATTTGAAAAGCTGAAAGATTTCGACCTAAAATATTGTCATTTTCGGTAAATTTGATAGAACTATTAAGTTGAGGAGAAAGTTCCACCAATTTTCTTGAAAGACTGTCTTAAACTTATTCGATTTAATCATGTAATAGCTCATTCGAAAGCTATTTATCTAGCGGATTAAATAGAAAAGACCGTTTATCGATTCATCAACATTCAAAGTTTTTGCAGCCTTTTTACTGAGACGTCTTTGACCCCAACTTTCAAAAATGAGCTTTATTTGTTTTTTTGTAAGGAAACCTGTGCTGAAATCATGTTTTTCGGAATCAGCGTTAAAAATTACCCTAGAATACGAGAGAATTGTTTTTTTAAAAACTGACTTGACCCGGAATCGAAGCCTCGATCCTCGGGTTGGATGGTAATCCGAAGGTCGAGGGTTCGATTCCGGGTCAAGTCAGTTTTTTTCCAAAAAATTTTTCTAAAAAAAATAATTCTCTCGTATTCTAGGGTAATTTTTAACGCTGATTCCGAAAAACATGGTTTCAGCACAGGTTTCCTTACAAAAAAACAAATAAAGCTCATCTTTTGAAAGTTGGGGTCAAAGACGCCTCAGTAAAAAGGCTGGAAAAACTTTGAAAGTTGATGAATCGATAAACGGTCTTTTCTATTTAATCCGCTAGATAAATAGCTTTCGAATGAGCTATTACATGATTAAATCGAATAAGTTTAAGACAGTCTTTCAAGAAAATTGGCGAGAGCTTTCTCACCCAGTGAGTTTCAAATTTCGAGTTGAAGTCAACTTTTCAAAAATTGTTTTAAATCAAATCTACTTGACTAAATTGTCTGAAATTGTTCGACTAGACCCAGAAATATTTCAGTTTTTCAAATCTGAACTTAAATTCGAAAAATCTTGCGTCAGGGAAGAGTTGAAGCGATCGAAAGGTGGCTGATGCAAATGTCCCTTACCGGTTTTCATTTCCTGTATGATCATATGGCAAATCTATGTTGCAGTAAGCTAATATATTTTAAAACGATTTAAAACGGTTTAAAACGGTTTAGAACGGTTTAGAACGGTTTAAAATAGTTTTAAAACGGTTTTAAAACGATTTAAAACGATTTAAAACGATTTAAACAGTTTTAAAACGATTTAAAAAGGTTTAAAACGGTTTAAAACAGTTTTAAAACGGTTTAAAACAGTTTTAAAACGGTTTAAAACAGTTTAAAACGATTTACAACAGTCTTAAAACGATTTAAAACAATTTAAAACAGTTTTAAAACGGTTTAAAACAGTTTTAAGACGATTTAAAACTATTTAAAACGGTTTTAAAACGGTTTAAAACGGTTTAGTACGGTTTAAAACAGTTTACAATGGTTTAAAACGGTTTAAAACGGTTTAAAACCGTTTAAAACGGTTTAAAACGATTTAAAACGGTTTAAAACGGTTTAAAACGGTTTAAAACGATTTAAAACAGTTTTAAAACGATTTAAAACGATTTAAAACGATTTAAAAGGATTTAAAACAGTTTTAAAACGATTTAAAACAGTTTTAAAACGGTTTAAAACAGTTTGTCGGTTTTAAAACGATCAACCTTTAGCCATTTAATAAAATTTAAAGACTAAAACTCACTCGATGCGTTCCAACATTGGCTAAATGCTCAAAATGTGTCTCTCGGCTCGCAAGATTCCCCTTTACCAGGTCGTCGATTCATGTAAAGGCATTTCGTTGATAGATCCTCTTTCCCAAGCTGTATGATTAGTGTTATTCCTCAACTGTATGATTAGTGTTATTTGATTTCCCCTCATTTTTTGTTCATTCTCCTTCCTCAATTTCCAATTCTTCTCTCCAATTCTTCTCTCCAATTCTTCTCTCCAATTCTTCTCTCCAATTCTTCTTTCCAATTCTTCTCTCCAATTCTTCTTTCCAATTCTTCTCTCCAATTCTTCTCTCCAATTCTTCTTTCCAATTCTTCTCTCCAATTCTTCTCTCCAATTCTTCTTTCCAATTCTTCTTTCCAATAGCTCATTTCCTTCCTACTGGTCTCATAAGTATGAAATTTGTGCTTCCAAAACAATATCAACGATTACAATTTTGGTACTTAACAACGATCGATCCCATTTCTTGTTCTTACTGGTTACTGGCTTTGTGCTTCAGAATTCAGAACTTTTGGTGCAATAGATCGCTTGCGTTTCTGCAAGAACCCCAAAATACACTAGACTTTTATATTTTTATACTTTTATATAAACTTTTACCATCTTGAGATCAAAAAAACGCTCGAAATAGCTCGAAAATGAATTTCTCATGTGGAAAAGTTGAAACAAATTCACTGAATACTTATTTATTTCCCCCAGAAATTTTCCTTTGCTTTATCCAAACCGGTGCCCTTTTTCTTCCCAGATTTGTGCTTAAAAAAAGTGAAATTTTTTTTTGGGATTTTCTGTAAATAATGAGTTTCCCCTTGAAGATTCTCCGGTGATCATTCATTTTTCAGTTTTCACCAATGTTTTTCAGAGATTTTCTGCTATTCAGCGTGTTAGCCATAAAGTGTTTGATTGTGTTTTTGTTTTTACTAAAGAAGACAAAAGAAATGACAAACAGAAAGCAAAAAAATGGCCGACTGCCTTGGCCGACTGCTTTGGCCGACTGCTTTGGCCGATTGCCTTGGCTGACTGCCTTGGCTGACTGCTTTGGCCGACTGCTTTGGCCGACTGCTTTGGCCGATTGCCTTGGCTGACTGCCTTGGCTGACTGCTTTGGCCGACTGCTTTGGCCGACTGCATTGGCTGACTGCTTTGGCTGACTGCTTTGGCCGACTGCTTTGGCCGACTGCCTTGGCCGATCGCCTTGGCTGACTGCCTTGGCTGACTGCCTTGGCTGACTGCTTTGGCCGACTGCTTTGGCCGACTGCATTGGCTGACTGCTTTGGCTGACTGCTTTGGCCGACTGCCTTGGCTGACTGCCTTGGCTGACTGCTTTGGCCGACTGCCTTGGCCGACTGCTTTCAAGACATAAAGGTGTGACAGCGTGAGACAAGCAGAGAGAGACAGTGAACAGAAATCCGCAGCACTACGAGTACAAAATGCAATATTAATAGCTTAAAAATCGGATTCCAGTGAAATGATGTGATTCTAGATTTCACAGGATCAGATTTTTCATCTACCGATATGCATTTGTTTACATTCACTTGTACTCCCAGAGCCTTATACCTTACTATCTACAAGTCTATCCATAATTTTCCCAATTTTATTTACTTCTCCTTTTACAGTGGATTCGAATCAATAGATTATCCTCACGTCAGCTTTTCTTCAGTCAGCGTGCTGATGGGAAGAGTTGATGTCTGCGTGTCTTTCCCCTTCTTCCCCTTCTTCTCCTTCCCCTTTCCCCCTTTTCCATTTCCCCATTCTTGTCTCTTTTCATCGCTTTGTCAGCTTCGTTTTCCTTTTTCTCTTTTTCCAACGAATCTCCTCTTTTCCTCTTCATTCATTCATTCATTCAGCAATGCACACAAAATTTGCAATCAAAACATTTGAATGGATTTCAATGTTCAATCCGATTGCCACACGTGCACAAGAACTTTCTCAACGTAATCTTGCCCCATTTTTGCCCCATTTTACTCCATTTTACTCCATTTTGCCCATTTTTACCCCAACACTTCGAATTTGGACACTCTCTTTATCTTTTCAGCTTTTGAGCGCTGTCAATGCCGAAGTTGGCATACAGCTTTGAATATCATTTAACCGATTCAACGATCGCGAAATCGCTTCTCCACTTCATCGCCATCTCATCGAGAATTTCATCGATAATTGAATGCTTCCAAATTTCTTGATTCCTTGATTTCTTTTCCACTACACCAGAACAAACCTAGGACCATTCCACACCTGATTTTAGAGTCAGGCCAGCCAAGCCTAGGTCATATTTTTGTAAAACCATTTTTTAGACTATGCCAGCGTCGAGTCAGCCCAAGAATCAGGCAAATCGGTCACGAGCTTGGCTTCAGCTTTGCCTGGGGAATTATCCTTTGGATCATTTTGTACATCCCTGCGGACTATGTGGAGTTAGATCATTGAATTTTGTCTACTATTTTGTGTTCATTGTTTTCTCTGAGCGCACTCATCAGTTCTGTTTGCATCGAAAAAAGCGAATATTGCAGAAAAGGGAGTCTTTGAATAAGATTTCAGTTCTTTTCATAGCTTTTAATAGCCATGAAAAGAATTGAAATCTTCCATAGCTATTTGAGCTATTCTTTCCATAGCTTAGTCGATTTTGAATCGATTCTTCTGACCGGAAATGGGTTTGGAAAAATCGATCAGTTGGGTAAACGAGTTGGAATCGGTTTTTGTTTTGACTGGTTGACTTGTTTTGACTGACTTTTGATTTTTGACTGCTTTGTTATGCAATTTTGAAAATTTTAGCTTTGGAATTGATACTAAGTTACTTTAATTCCTTACCACAAAACATTTTTTATTCCTTGTCCTTGATTTGTCTGAAATGACTTATCACATTTCTTTTCTTGCTATCAGCAATCGCGTAGCAATCGTACGAGAAGAATAAAGTTCATTTTTTCTGGCTGACAATGAGATCATTCCAAATTTCTTCGGTGTATTTCTTTTTGCTTGAGAATCGAAACACACCCTCTCTGGGGGCACTTGTTTCTTCGTTTAGGTGCTCAAATTCCACATTTCCTAATTTTTATACAGATTAACACCTATAATCCGTGAACAATTAAATATCTTTGGCTCTACACTTTCCAGCCACCCAAAGCCAGGTCTGGCTGGCTCTGGCTCTTAAGAATTAAGGTCTGGCTT